AAAAAAATAACATTTTGTCCCAGAGGCGATTTTTATTCGTGTGCTGGTTGGTTTAAAAAATATTTCATATATCATGTGGTTTGTGCATGAATATTCTGGTTATTAAAAAACAATTATTCCAGATGAAATTTAAAGAAATTTCCGTTTTTGAAAGACTAAGTGTGCAATATCTGGTATTCCTTCATATGATTGCAACCAATTATATATAGTAATAAAAGCTTACAAATTATTGGAAGGAATTATTATTACTGGCGATGTATTTTTTCTTTTTTTAATGGCACCAAATTTTGCGTATATAATAGTCTATCAGGCTGTGTATTTACAAGTTAGTAGCTAAAGAGAAAAAATATATACATCTTCGTTATTAGGAGGCAATCCTTATAAGAAAAAACACTCCAAGGATGTAAATAGTATGAGGAAACGGTTTTGTAATATTATAGCAAGCAATAAACTGCTGCCTTTTTAAAAATGATAAGAAATTATGAATAAAAAAAATCTATCCTGATACTCGTAACAATATTGGCCAGAAAAAAGATGCCTCAATCTCGCTTGCAAATTATAATCGCAGATATGAAAATAATAAATAAAATATTTTGGTTGCGTTCTCACGAAAATGGACGATGGAGGAGCCCTTTCTATATTATAAATATCCAAAATATTGTAACAATCATAAAATTTTGTTGCAAGGTTGTGCGGACAGAGAATTTATGTGTTTGCACTTATAAATATTTATATTAATATTTATATACATAAATGTAAATTTTAATATGTGCATACTTATATCATAAGAATATATAAACATTCACATTTATAGTGAAGAAGTTTATATATTACTCATTAGTCCTCAATCATATCAATTATACCGATATATTGTCGATGATAAAGGTTTATCATCGTATTCAAAATTATATGTATAATATATGTACATCCATATATAATATATTTTAGTTCAATTTTCTCGAACTGTACTGCATAAATTGAAACCCAGCAAACCGGGATATGATTGTTATATAACATGTACATAATAAGTGCACAGTTTAATCTGATTTTTCATCGCGTGCTGCAGCGTTTGATGTTTTTTTTGCATGAGATTTAATTGCTCTTTTATAATTTTTTCGTCGTCTGCGTCCATTGTGCCGAAGAGTGTTTTGGCTATCGTTCCTAGACCGTCAATTAGCCCTCGTCTTCTTTGGTGCTTGGTACGCAAATTTTAGACGCTTTAGCAATTTTTCTGCTTGTTCTCTGTCCTTTTCTGCTATTTGTAGCAGGTTGTGGCAGGTTTCTTTCATTTTTATTTGTAATGGTTTATCGTAAAGACGTACCACAAAACTACGTACCCACGGTAAAAATATAGCCTTTGCAGTATCTAATATCTTTTGATAAAATTTGGTTGCTTGCCGCGACATATCAATCATCTCTTGAGCCATTTTTATACTTTTTTCACTTCACTTCTTTCAAAACTACCTCACGAACAGTCAGACACTTTGTGACGGACATACCGGGATAGACATTGTCTCGATTAAACATTTTAGAGTAGGGGATGTATCACTTTACGAAGAACGCTGGATGCATTTTTTGCTTTTATCTAGCCCTTTTCAGGCTTTTTATTCGCTCTTCCATTCAGTCCGTCTTCCGACGTCGTCTTGTATTGATTGTATTGAGTTTATTTTCTCTCGCGCTGTTTTATTG